TCTGAGACAGGGGTCAGGTTTTACCCGACAGGCATGCCATTTAAGGTGTGCACATGATGCCCTGGGCCTGGTGTTTGTTCCTCTCCCTGTCCAGGGAATGCAGAGTCAGGAAAATACCGCATCTCCTTCCAGATAACTGATTTCTTCAACTTTATGGTCACTTTTTTTTTTCCTGGTAGCCCTGAGAACTTGAAATTGAACTTTGACTTGAACTCTGTGTTGAGTATATTGGGAAGACTTTCAAGCCATTTCAGTTTTTTGCTCACTTCCAAAACAAGAGATTTTCTAGTTCTCTCATTTCGGGGAAATGCCCAGGCCTCGAGCGTTTGCCCACGGTTCCCATGCAGACTGGGGAAGCTGTGCCTGGCCTCATCCCTGCAGGAGGGAGGCCTACAGGCAGGCCTGCTCTGCTGATTCTGGCCAGCCTGCAGTTACCCCCTAGCCTTGGTGCTCGCCTTTCATGATACTTTCAGCCTCTGGTGTGAAACACAAACCAGGCCTCTACTGCTGTCCACACATGCTTACAACCTTTTCATCTAGAGGCATGGTGCGCTCCTGTGTGTGCTGGCCTCCTTACAGTGCAAGTGTGAACACAGGAGCAGCCTGCGGCCCCTGGGAGTCTTTGGCCAAGCTGAGACTTAGGGGCCTATTCGCGGGCTTATTCGCCTTTCCGCCTTGTGCTCAGTGCAGCATTGCCCTGGTATATAGAAGGAAGCTGGCAGGTTTCCCTGTCTCTGTGCCTGTTTATGTTTCCAGCCTTCCTTGCTTAAAATGTATAGAAGTTACCTTTTAGCAGGCGTTGTTTTTGTGCCTGTCCTGTTCGTGTCACATCCCTGGGCCAGCTTCCCTTCCCTGATTAAGTGTGCTTTCCAGGCCCTGAACTTGATGCTTCTCCGGACCACCCTAGCAAGCCTCAGCTGTGGGTGTTCCTCCCCCTGGTTTGGCTGCTTCTCTCTCCACGTGCTGCCAATACCCCTCCAGCAGCCAAGACAGCCCCTTTCCTGCATGTATTTATTACCTACAGCAACACTGAAGAAGTATGACCTTTCCATTCCTTTGCACCCTGTGTGTGCTCCAAGCATGCAGTTGTGTGGAAACAGACTGGAGAGTGTAGAAACCTGGATTCTGGTGTCCTGTATATATTTATGTCCTGTATATATACATGGTATATATAAAAACGCAAAAACGCTGCTGGGTTTTCCATAAAATTGTTCAGACAGTAAGTTGAATTACTGTGCTTTGTTGTTTATGTTACTGTTCTACAAAAGAAGAAAGACAGAGCTCTTTCCACGTTTATGTAACTGAAAGACAAAGACATGTCCTCTCCTCCCCCAGAGTGGACCGGACTCTAGCTGAGGTCTGTGCTCGTGGTTTCCCTGCACGGGGGAGCAGGGCAGGACTCGCATGGCACGTAGGGTGCCTTGAGAGAGTGCTGCTTCCCCTTGGGGCTTCAGAGCTTCTGAGGCTCTGACTTCACTAGATGCCTGTGATCCCAGTACTCTGGGAGGCTGGGGCAGGAGGATCACAGTTTCAACCCCACCTAGGCAGAGAACACTAAAAATGAAAAATAACAAGCCCTGGAGATGCAGATCTGTACAAAGGGCCTGGGTTCAATCCCCCATACTGCCAATAATAATAATAACTGACTCTCAGAAGTAGAATTTGGCTTTGTTAGGGATATATATTTTTTTATATATTTTTTCCTTCTTTGAATCATACGCTGTTGTTAGAATGCTTTCGTTTTTCTCTGTAGAGAGGACTGATCATCCAGGCTGTATGCTGCTCACATATGGAAGAGTGAAAGGGGACAGTTTTCTTAGAGTCTGCTTTTTAAACCTGTAATTATACTTAGCAGATGTGACAAGGAAGTATACACCATAATTATTTTAAATAAAATCCACTTTGTTCCTTTGACTTAAGCAGAATTTTAACCTGGCACTTATCGAACTCATATTTCCATATGCTGGTTTCTGTGACTGCCATTTAATTTATAGTCCTACCTTAAGCTAAGAGGTATGAAATTCCTCCATCAGAAAGTCCAGTTCTGGTATTTGAGAGGTCTAGAAAGACCCTTGTGGCCATTTGACCTCATTCAACCCTGAGAGGTACATAGCCTTAGGGAATTCTGCTGTTTGAGAGTTGAGTTTTTCCAGACTGATAACCCTGGAAGATAGCCTTCTGCTTCTGGGCCAGGCAGTGCCGGGGTTTTCCTGGTTGTGGGCTAGCTTTTTGTTGTTGTTGTTGTTGTTGTTGTTGTTGTTGTGTTTCCTAGTAAAAGGAGAGGCAAATAGCTCTTATTTTTGTACTTCATAGCAAGCCATCTGAGGTTCCTTATTCCTTTCAGATGTGGACAGGTTGATTTGTAGCTGCTGTCTTTCTCTTCCTAACAGGCCTGTGAATGGTGAAGATCTTGGGGAGTGAAGCATTAAAAGTGAATGAGGAGAAGGGCAGTGGTTTGTCTAAGGTGGGGTGGAGAGGGACTGCTTCACAACAGACATTGATGTTTTAAATGCACAGAAGTTGGGAATTTCCCAAAACTAATTGAATTGTGAATGTCTTTGAGAGAAGAATTATTAATGAAGACGTTTTGCTTTTTTGGAAGTGGTAGAAGACAATCTGAAAATGAGTTTATTGCCCTTCACAGCTGACTCTGACTACTTGCTTTTGAAGAGGTCCCATGTTCTGAGAGATGAATTACATTACAACGCTCAAGTTTTGGGATTACCCAAAGTTTTCTACATTTACATTGATGGTATATCTAAAGTATGGAAGATAAACAAGCATACTTCTTTTAAGTATGGAAATCAACCGAAATCTGTCTGTACGCTGGAATAGTTCATGGTTATATAAACCAAGGAAATCAAACTCATTGATCTTGTAGATGTGTGAAGTTACGTGTCATAGTCATAATGAGGAGACCAGGCATCCTGGTGGGAATGACTCTGAGTTCCTGAGTTGGAGTTGATGTGGTTAATGAAAAAACAGACTTGCAGGATGTATGGAACCTTTCTGCTTCTCTTAATATTGACCCTTCACTGCTTTTTTGGAAATTTGCTCGGAATTGGTTATCTCTGCTTTGTTGCCTTAATAAAAGCAATCCCTCTTTGCTTTTTATAATGTGAACGAAAAGATACATAGTTCTTGCACATAATACCAACTTGAGGTTTGTTAGGCTGGAAAGACAAATTACTGAAGTGTTGTGGAAGTTTGTTTAATCTTTGAAAGTGAATGTTACAGTTGAAAACGGAATGGTGATTATATAAAACGTCTGTTACTAGCTCTTATTTTAGCCATCTGTATTGTTACCCTTCAACTTTTTCAGGTTCAGAATTTACTGAATTGATCTTTCACCTCTGAGGAATCCTAGCATGCGTTAAAAAAGCACTTGTCACTTGTTAGAGCCACCAATAAATCTCTTTTATGATGCTATTAGATACCTTACTGAAAACTCCCACTCACTGTAGAAGGCCGCTGGTTGGATGCACAGGGCATTTCCTGAAATCATCTCTGGTGCACCTCCTGTGGGTTGTTAAGAAGGTGTTGAAATGTAAGCGGCTTGGTAGTGAAATCAAATTGTTGCTCCAGGTAATCAGGAGGGGAGAAACCCCTGGGTTTTCATAGCACATTGTCTGGCTTTCAGTTGCAGCTGCAAACAACGGATATGAATTTAGCCAGTTGCTATAGTGCAGCTGGTTCAGATCTGGCTTTATAACTGGCTGAAGTAAAATGAAATGGCTGGAAAATTCCAGTCAAGTAGCACCAGTGGGAACATGTGGAATTAAATAGTGCGAGCAAATGCCGGCTGAGTTGGGGAAACACTGCAGACATAAACTTGACGGTGGTGGTGAGGACTTGGGGGGCATTTTCTGGCTTTTCTAACAGCTGTCTATTGTCTTTATTAGTTCTCTTGCAGGACTGGAAGGTCCCTCCACCCAAAGAGTGTTAGCTTGTCTGCCCTCTTTCTTACAGAAGTCACCTGATGCTTTTATTTTTTTTTCCTCAAAAGACAAGAAAGAATAAGTTGTTACCTCAGTCACTAACAGTAACACAAATCTCAAAATGTCCTTTTTTCTTCAAAACAACTTTCTTACCTTGTGTAGCACAAAACCCTGTCTCTTCGTAGTTACCTTTCTTTTTCCACTTTACTGTATGTCAGAAGCCGCGGTGTGTGAAGGTTCAGGGTGGAGACAGTTTGTATCTACATCTGTATCTATAAATGTATCTATCTATACATATACACACATAAATATGTGGCGTGTGTGTATGTGTGTGTGTGTTCCAATTAAAAGATTAAAAGGGAGAAAACAGCCTTACTAAATACAGGGAGGCTTTTATAGTATTGGTAGATATTTTTCTCCCTGAATTGTATGCTAGACTGAAAAACTGAGAGCTGAGTGGGAAAAGATGTGGGAAGCTCAAGGGCCCCAGTGTGGTGTAGAGAGAGCGTTTGCAGTGACTACACTGGGGTAGATACTCTTTGCCAGTGCTTGGGACTGTGGTTTCCCTCCTGTGGGGATTAGCTGGTGCTGTGCAGCCTTTAGTGAAGACTTAGCTCTTTCTGGGTACGTGGTTGATAACTGTTGCTGGGGTTCCTCTTGACTTGCTTCATCTCTCAGCATTTATATTGTTTCTAGTTAGAGTCATATGTATTATGATGTCCAATGAATCTTTTCAGAAAGCAGAGTTGTGATAGATCTGTGATTCATCAGACCCCTAAAAGTTTCTGATAACTTAGAGAAGAACTTTTTGTTCCTTCAGACCTTACCTTGCCTTTTTCCCAAGAGGACCACATTCTCTGTCTCAGGAAGTTAAGAAGGTTCCGTTAGTGCACAGTCCCTGCGTTTCTAGTAGATCTTACTTCTCATTGCATGATACTTTATTTTCACTGTTGGTTTGCGCAGCAGGAGATGGTCAGTGTGAAGGCCATTCCGTTCCACTGTTGTGCTCCCTTGACCTTGTCTTGCCCTCGTGTTAAACTGTGGACACGTTGCTTCCCACAGATCACCATCATCTTCAAAGCCCACCATGAGTGTACAGATCAGAAAGTGTACCAAGCTGTGACAGATGACCTGCCAGCTGCTTTTGTGGATGGCACCACTAGCGGCGGGGATGGTGACACCAAGAGCCTGCGCATCGTGGAGAGGGAGAGTGGCCGCTACGTGGAGATGCACGCCCACTACATAGGCACCACAGTGTTTGTGCGCCAGCTGGGCCACTACCTGACCCTCGCCATCCGCATGCCTGAGGACCTGGCCATGTCCTACGAGGAAAGCCAGGATCTGCAGCTGTGTGTGAACGGCTGCCCCCTGAGCGAACGCATTGATGATGGGCAGGGCCAGGTGTCTGCCATCCTGGGGCACAGCCTGCCTCGAACCTCGTCGGTGCAGGCCTGGCCTGGCTACACCCTGGCAGCTGCCAACAGTCAGTGCCATGAGAAGATGCCAGTGAAGGACATCTACTTTCAGTCCTGTGTCTTTGACCTGCTCACCACTGGTGATGCCAACTTCACTGCTGCAGCCCATAGTGCCTTGGAGGACGTGGAGGCGCTGCACCCAAGGAAGGAGCGCTGGCACATCTTTCCCAGCAGTGGTGGGGCTGTGCACAGGTGTAGCTCTGCGGCCCTCGGCCTGGGACTCACCTGCCTGATCATTGTGTTTTTGTAGGGGTTGTCTTTTGGTTTTTGGTTTTTTTGGTGTTTTGTTTTGTTTTGTTTCGTTTCTTGTTTTTTTTAATTTTTTTTGTCTATAACAAAATTTTAAAATATATATTGTCATAATATATTGAGTAAAAGAGTATATATGTATATACCATGTATATGACAGGATGTTTGTCCTGGGTTACCACCAGATTGTATATATTGTGCTTGGCCGTTTTCACATGCGTTGGATGTAGTGTTCTTTGATTGTATCAATTTTGTTTTGCAGTTTTGTGAAATGTTTTATAATGTCCCTGCCTGGGGACCTGTTAGAAAGCACTTTATTTTTTATATATTAAATATTTATGTGTGTATTGGTTAATACGTATAGTTCATATATGCAGACACCAAACGCAATGTTCCCTCGAAGGTGACCGGTCGTTGTAGCTATTCTCGGCTGCCCCCTCCTGCCCTCTCTGCTGCTGCTGACCGGCCATTGTGCAGTTCTCCCTGGCCGTGTCCAGTGGAGCCGCCTCGTTGCTCGTGAGTTGTGTCCTCCCGTGTCCGCCTGTCCGCACTCATTTTGAGAACACAGCTAATTTCTTACAGGTTCTTTTGATTCCCCTTTACACTGATCTGAATAAGAAGCCCTCTCTCTTAACAGCTGTCACTGTTTGCAAAGGTGAGTTCTTATCACTTTCCAGCTGTTACATCTGCACACACCGTGTGTTAGGTTGTCAAAAGTGCTTTTAGGTAAAAGGGGTCTAGTGGTGGCAGCTTCATAGATAGATAGATACCAGGCATCTTGCTAGACCTCAGTAGCGCTCAGACTTCTCATCCCTTTCCTAGTTTAAATTGTAACTTTTCCTCTTTCAACATGATTCATTAAAACATAAAACCACAAACTTAGTAATAATCATGACTTGTTCTTTGTGAAATTAGTGGAAGCCCATGTTGATTCTTAGCTTTTTCGTCCTTGGCTCTTGGGACTCAGACATGCAACTCCTTGTGTCCACTCAGTTGGCTCACCTTGGGCGTCCAAGGGTGGGCTTGCTACGAGTCTGTTACTGAGACCCATTACAGACATGCTCCATCCTTCCCTGCCCCCACTCCCTGGTCTTCACAGTCCCTGATGTGTGTTTCTGCGCAGTGAAAGGGAGTAGGTGTCCACGGCAGGACGCTGTTCTGACTGGACTCCGTATAGCGCTTCACTCTGGCTGCCAATGAGTCGGCACTGACACCTGAGCACTCTGTCTTTTCAGATACACTCCCTCCTAACACTTGTTGCATATTAATTACTGATGTTACTTGGTGAAATCTCTATATAAAAGTGACTTCTGCTGCTTCCATTCCATTGTTGGTGCATTTTGCAACAAGAAAACATCTGCAACAAAGGGCAGGAGTAGTCACGAGGAAAGTTAAGTCCAGGATAGGTAGGATTATATTATTACATCCAAATTGAAATTTTGGTTCTGAGAATGGATACAAGTTTACATAATTGTGAACAAAAGATAATAAATTTGAAATACCATTGTAACTTAGGCTAAGGTACACTTAGTTTTCGTTGTCCCTGTGATACCTTTTACTATGTCCTCTGGACCAGGGGCACTGCCAGAGACCCAGACTGGCCCCAAAAGATGATGTCATTTTGTAAAGAAGTTTCTTAATTAACTGAAGTACCAGTCAGTTGTAGGGTAGAATTGTGAGTTCATTTAGGAGTAGCAAACCTCTCTGCTTTGAGATTATAAAAGAATAATCTGGAGCAGTGTAGATTAATAATCAAGGCTCCCTGCTACTTTTAAAAATTCAACTCCAGGATGGAACCTAATTCCTCATCCAGTTGTAGAAGCTGAACTGGGCCATCACCTCTGAGCCATGGCTGCTTTTGTTCATCCGTGGAGCCATGTGCCAATTTCAGAAGTTACTGTAATTTTATAATTGAGTCAAACATGAAAGAATACTAAGGATACTTTTAACCACTATTTTTGTGCACAGTATAAAAGTAAAAGCAATAATAAAAGTTTCTACACTACATGGGTTTAGGGTGTATATGGTTAATGTACCTTAGTGCTTTTCAAGGAAAGGAAAACCCAGTGGTTTCGCCTCACCGTTTAGCTGGAGAGGATGCTTAAAATAACACCCAGCATATTCACTTAACTTTTTAATCAGTGTCCCCATAAAGTTACAGATTCCACGGATGACTTACGAACATAGTACAACTATCACAAAGTAGTACTTGTGTTGTCTTTAGCAAGGTTTATTCTCCAGGGTTTCTAGAGGAAATGCTTCTTGCACATGTTGATCCATGAAGTCCTTCTTAGAAGACTTTCAAGTCATCCCATCACGTGGACAGGCTGTAGCTGTTCACAGGTCTCCTGGGGGAGCTTGAACTTTGGGGGAGAAACACTGGTTTTCACAGATGCTCCACATTGCTGTCTTTAAAAGACTCAGAACATTTATTGTCCTCTCCTATGCTTGGAAATCCCTCCACCCCCAGTGTGTCGGGTCTTTGCAAAGAAACCTTTCGATGTGGTTCATAGGTATGTGAATAAGTATCTGTGTAAAACAGTGAGTGTGCAGTGTGTAAATATACGTTAAATTATTCTGGAAAAATAAAGTTACATACCATGCTGTGTGTGGAATGTGTGTTCTGTGATTACAGTGCCACCTGCTGGAAGAGCTGAGAAAGAGCTGCACAAGAGGGTGGGGTTACACAGTCGTTAACAATTACTGACAGTCTGTCTTACCACCTGCCCACTAAATTGCTTTACTACTAGCTTTTCCTTTTATAAAATCTAAGCAATTACAAATAAGCCAGTATCTGAGAATAATCACAATGTTGTCTCAAAGGTCCATCTTTTTGTAGTAGTTGATCCCTTGAAGATACGAAACCTACCCCCACCCCACTCCCAGCAGCAGCTTAACTCCTGGTGGGGAGTAGGCTAGGGCCTGGGGTTTTCAGGTTTTGCTCAAGCCATACCCACAACATTATTTAGATGTTGTTTTCCTTTACTTAACTGTTCTTCCCCCAAGTACCTGTGCTAAGCAAGGTGTTTGACAGTGTCAACTCACTGGTGGAGTAAGACACTAGCCTTTGTACCGAACTGAAGTCATGTGCTTGGAGTGGTGTCTTTGTGCTTTGTCTCTTTAGAAGAGTGTAGATTATAGAGACTAGGTTGTCAAAGATCCAAGGTGAGATGTTAGCATTATGCAGAGCCACAGTCTATGACCTCATCCTCATCGCACTGATGTTCAAACCAGGTGTGGTGGCACATGCCTGCACTCTCATCCCTCAGGAAGCTGAGGCAAGAGGATCACCATGAGTTCAAGGCCAACTTTTGCTCTACATTGAGTTTAGAGCCAGCCTAAACTAGACTGTGTCTCAAAGAAAACAAAATGATATTCAAACAATGAAGCTAACCATCAACTAGAGTGTATTTAAAAAGTAGATTCACCAAACTCCCACAGAGGAGAGCAATGGGCAGTGTACTCTAATTGAGCATTTCTCATGGGTGATGTCTTGATTACCTTTCTGTGTTGCTGAGACAAAATCTCTAACACCCAAAATTAAGGAAGGAAAGATTTATTTAGCTTACTGTTTGTGGAGGTTTTTGGTCTATGATCAGCTGGCTCCAAAGGGAAGGTGGCATGGCACAGGGTCAACAGCTCATGGAGGTGAGAGACAGCAAAAGCAGCCAGAACACAAAGCGGGAAGGGGGAGAGCAAGCCTTTTTTTCTCCCTTGTATTGTATGCAGGCTACCTGCCCTGGGCTGGTAAAGTACTCATACCATCAGCTTGCTTGCCTTTTTGCACAGGCTGGAGGTGTTTACAAAGTGAGGGCCCTGGCCCCCTGTGAGTCATTTAGTTAAACTTCCAAACTTTTCAAGTTCACACAGTGAACATCTTAGAACAGCATCTTAGACAGGTGAGGGCATGTCCTTTACCCCCCACCCCCACCCCCGATTTAGACCTGCTGAGTTACTTAATTAAGCTTCTATACTTCCGAAGTTGACACAATGTATCAGCCCATTCCAGGTGGCATTTCCTATGATTGGCTTTTACTTCAATAATGAAAGTGCCAACTCCAGGAAAAAATAAGTAAATGTTTGCTACCAGATTATTGAATATACAAGACCAACTACAGATAATTAACCAAGTCAAATTGCACCTGTCATACATAACATTTTCAAATAGGATCATTTCAATCAATAATTAACACTGCTGAGGGAAGTAGTGCTATTCTGACAACCTAGTGGTGCTGTTCTCCAAAGCCTTCTGATAGGAAGTGGTAAAGCAGAATTGGCTTAAGAGGAGAGCAAGTGGAAGACAACATTTATTTTTCCAGTGACCCCTGTTGAGCTGCTAGATTCTAATGCCATCAGTGCACTCTTGATCCTCAGTGCAATGAGAATCAGAGGGATATTTATGGATTAGCTGGATCTAGGTGCAAAGCTGGGGAGGGCCCTCTCTGGGCCTGAGTCTTCTCATGAATATTCATTTTCCTTTTGGTGAAAGAGGGAAGGTTTACCTTAGAAGCTGAGAGGAAGGGTGGCAGCAGAAAAGAGTAACTCACAAACCTGGGAACCAAGTCTAGGAAGTGATTACAGTTTCCTTACCCTGTAAACATTTTCTTTCTCACTCTGCAGGCTGATTTCTCTGCCTCACAGGTGCTCTGGGTGGAACCTGGCCAGGGTCCATCTACCTCAGAGAGAGTTCATAGTCCTTGGGCAGAATCTTCTTGGCTCAGTTTAGGATAGAAAAAACAGTGTAACAAAAAAAAGCAGCAGGCCTATATTAAAAATATATACACACACACACACACCTAATCAAGGTGGTAAAAGACCTGTACACTGAAATTTTCAACAATGAAAAAAATTGAAGACATTAAGAGGTTGAAAAAAGCAAACCTGGCGTTATCAAGTAGTGTATCTAGTTTCAAATGATACTGCAAAACCATGATAAGAAAACAGCATGAAGGAGCCTAGGATTTAGTTCAGCGGGCTCAAACTCTTGCCTGGACCAGTGTGAGGTCCAGTGATCAACTCCCAGTACAAAAACAAAAAACCAGCATGTGACTGACACAAAACATTGACACATAGACCAATAGAACAGGGAGACATACAAACAGACTCCACAGCTCTGGCCACCTGCTTATGCATGAAAGAGCCAAAAATTTATTTTAGCCTCTTAACAAATGAAGCTGCAAAAACTGGGTCTCAATATGTAGAAGACTAAAACTACATCCCTATTTCTTACCTCTTGTTATGGTTGATACACTGTGTCTACTTGAGAAGTTTAGAAGTTTAAGGAACTCCTCAGTGAGCCAAGGTTCTTACTTTGTGAACATCCTCATTCTGTGCAAGAGGAGGGCAGGGAGATTTTGTTGCTACTCCAGTCCCCACAGTGGGGGTGGCAGCGCGGGGGGGGGGGGTGTGACCTGGGTACAATATAAACTAAGCTTGATCTCCCCTTATTTTTGCTCTTGCTGTTCTGCCGTCTTGAAGTGTTGCCCCTGTGCCATGCCAGCCTGCCCTGGAGCCAGCTGATTATGCACTGGAACCTCCACAAACTGTGAGCTAAACAAACCTTTCCTTGCTTCATTTTAGGTATTTTGTCTCAGCAACAAAAGAAAAGAAGCCAAGACACTTTGTAAAAGGAAAAAAAATCAAAATGGATCATAGACTTAAGAATAACACCTGAAGCTTTGAAAGTGCTACAACAAATGGTAGGGGTGACATTTGAAGCTGTATGCATAGGAATCCAACATCACAGGAAATCATAACAAGAATTAACAAATGGAATTGCAGTAACTCAAAAACCTTCATAGCATAGCAAGGGAAACAACCAAGAGTGAAGAGACAGCCTACAGGATGGGAGCAAACCTTTGCCAGCCACTGTTTTGATGAGGGGTTAATATCCAGAATATACAAAGAACTCAAAAACTTTAGCACCAAAAAAATCAAACAGTCTAATCAAGGAATGTGTATATGAATTGAATGGATACTTCTTGAAAGAAGTGCAAATGGCTAATAAGTACATGAAACACTTCAACATCTTTAGCCATCAAGGAAATGCAAATTAAAACTACACTGAGATTCCATTTCACTCCAGTCAGTATGGCTGTCATCAAAAATACAAACAAACACACCAATAAGTCCTGATTAGAATGCAAGGGGAAGGGAACCCTTTATACACTACTGGTGGGAACGTATAGTAATATAGCCACCGTGGAGATCAGATTGGAGGCTCCTCAAAACACTAAAGTCAAACAAGTCCTGACCTAGCTAGACCATTCCTTGGCATATACCCAGAAAAATTAAAGTCAGGATATTATGAGGACACCTGCAGACCGGTGTATACTGTAGCACAATTCACAATGGCCAAATATGGAACCAGCCTAAGTTTCCATTAAAAAATAAAAGGTAGGAAAAAAATCTGGAGTATCATTCAGCTGTAAAGAAACTGTTCAGCTGTAAAGAAACATAAAATTGTCATTTGCAGAAAAATGGGTGGAACTGGAGACCATTATATTTCACAAAATAAGCCAGACCCAGGCAGACAAGTATTGTATATTTTCTTTAATATGTGGAATCTAAAACATGATAACAGTAAGGAAATAAGGGGGAAATTTAGGGGTATAAAGGAGAGTAATGAGGGAAGAAAAAGAAGAGTTATTATATCATTAAAATATAATGATTTTCTTGTTTTGAAAGCCCACGTTGTCATGGTTTTGGGCTTTTTGTTGTTGTTATTTTTTTTCTTGTTTTTCTCATAATTTGTTTTGTTTTTCCCTCTAATACAGAAAGGATAGATGCACATGTATAGGCTTATACATGCATATAACTTCTAAAGAATTTACAAGAATTGATTTTATTAGATGTGATGTATGAACAGCTACTCTGAAGAAAATAAGACATTCTGGTAGCCACTGCTGATTTCCTATCACCTTGTTGTGAAGTCCAGTAATGTTTTTATTCTTTGTTTTGATTGGTTTTAGTCTGTTTTGTGTTATTTAATTTCAGTATGTAGGAAGGTATGGACAGCTATTTTGAAGAGAATAAGAGATATTACAGTAGCCATTGCTGATTTTCCTATTGTCTGGTTTTGAAGACCTGTAATGCTTTCATTCTTCTGTTTTGATCAGTTTGGCTTGTTTGAATTCATTGTGTGTAAAGATATGGACAATTATTTCAAAGAAAACAAGAGACATTATGGTAGCCACTGTCGAGTTCCTGTTGTCTTGTTTTGAAATCCTGTATTGGTAGCATCGTTTTGCTGTGATCTGTTTTGTTCCGTTTTGTTTTGTTCTATTTAAAATAATTTTTTTAATTTTTTATAAAAAGACATAATGCTGTTGACATGAACTCATTGAGATGAAACTGTGCCCTATAGTAAGAGAGAAAGAAGGTTATGAAATAGTATGTTAATTTTTTCATATTTATACATAGAGATATCAAGAAATCATGTTCACTTAACTCTTTAATCTGTCTCTGCGTGTGAGGTGCTGAGCATGTCTTTCTCTTTGACTTACGCTAGTATAAAATGTGTAAACAGATGAAATTAATTCTTATGAGAATGTGAAGAGATGGATATGCTCATTAGCTTGACTAATAATTATTTCACAATATA